AAATAGCAGAAGGAAAGAGTTAAAGGGTTTTTACACTACTTTCCTCGATTTCGCCTGAACGAACTGAGGAAAACTAAGAAAAGTATCATCATTATCATCATCATCATCATCATCATCAGCAGCAGCAGTAGTAGTAGTAGTAGTAGTAGTAGTAGTAGTAGTAGTAGTAGTAGTAGTGGTAGTACTACTCCCGCGAAATAAGATCTCAGATAACAATATGAAACAAGTTTGAAAGAACAAAATCAAGCGAAGACATTTATGGCCCTGTTACAATTTCCACATATGCAAATTACTGTGAAATTTACTCGTGGTGGCCGTTGCGTCGTAATGGACCGGAACCAATGGGCCAATTGTTCAACACGTACCGGAGTACCTAAAGTAAAAAAGAACCAAATGCAAGCTACAGGGGAATTCCTGTTCACTTTAGCCAAATTTTCATAATTTTTTATAATAAAAGTCATGCTTACAGCATTGGGATGTTCGCGTGTCTTCTGTCTTCTGAATCAGTCAATGAAACCAGTGTTTTAATACTTTGTGTCAGTATCATACCATATTCTTAATAATTTATTTCCTACCAGTTGTAAACAGATAGTGGCGAAAAATGGAGGTCCAGTGAGACAGCACATCAGCTATTCATAGACTTCAAGAAATCCTATGATTCAGTTAGGAGGGGAGTATTGTAAAATATCCTCTTAGAGTCTGGGGTATCCATGAAACTAGTTACACTGATTAAAATATATTTAAAATAAAATTTAGAGTAACGTCCGTATAAGCAAACATTTTCTGATAATTTTCCTATCCAGAATGGTCTAAACAAGGAGAAGTTTTATCGTCATTGCTTTTTAATTGTGTCATTAGGAAGGCCCAGGAAAACTAGGTGGTACTGAAATTAAATGGGACACATCAGTTGCTGGTCTGTGCCGATGATGTGAATCTACTTGGTGATAATGTAGATACCGTAAAGAAAAAACAAAGAAATTTTAAGTGACTCTAGTGAGGAGGTTGGTCAAGAAGAAAACATAGAAATCATGACATGAAGATAGCTAACAGATGCTTTGAAAATATGGCACATTTAAAAACCATGGGAACGAGAGTAACAAATAAATATTTGTTTCGGGAGGAAATTAAGAGGAGATTGAACTCGGGTAATGCTTGCTACCGTTCAGTCCAGAACCTTTTGTCTTCTCGTCTGCTGTCCAAAAACATAACAATTATAATATACAAAACTATAATTTTGCCTGTGGTTTTGTATGGGTGTGGAACATGGACTGAGGGTGTTTGAGAACAGGGTGTTGAGAATATTTGTACCGAAATGAGATGAAGTGACAGGAGGTTGGAGAAAACTGCATAATGAGGAGCTTCATAACTTGTACTGTTCTCCAAGTATAATTAGAATGATGAAGTCAAGGAGGATGAGATGGGCAGGGCATGTAACAGGAAAATGGGAGAAGAAGAATAATGCGTATAGGATATTGGTGGGAAAGCCAGAAGGAAAGAGACCACTAGGAAGACCTGGATGTAGGTGGTAGGACAATATTAAAATGGATCTTAGAGAGATGGATGGGCTGGTATGGATTGGATTTATCTGTCTGAGGAAAGAGACCAGTTGAGGGCTCTTATGAACACGGTAATGAACCTTCGTGTTCGAAAAATTGCTGGAAAGTTCTTGAGTAGTTGCACAACTGATGGTTTCTCAAGAAATGTTCAGCTCCATGAGGTTAGTTATCATCTGTAATATAAACATGATGATCAAAGCCTGAAGGAGATATTGATACTATTTTATACAGTAATTGATCTTAAAAAATTGTTTGAATTTTGTTGGATGTAAATTAGAATCTTTGCGGCTGGTCGAATTGTATTACATACACGTACATAGCTTTCTGTTTAATAGCTTAAATACTGAACACATATTTATGGCCTTTTTTATTGTTTGAACATATGCATAATTGTATTGAAGAAACATATTTGTATATCTTTAGAAAATAAAACGTAGATTGGAATAAAAAGAATATATCGCTAGAAAGTCCGTGGTAAATTGTTTAGAGTGTTTCAGAGCGCTCTGTTGTGAAGTCTCGACTATTAATCATTCACTTGTCAAAATAAGTCGGAGAGGAAAATGAGTGGCCCGGGTTTCATGTTTTTCAACTTTCAGTACGAAGACTCATTTTGTAACAGACAAATCTTTGTGTGTGTACTTAAATATAATACCTGTCTTGCTTCTAAATTTATCATTATTAAGTGAGGAATTTCGTATCAAAATGTTATTTTCGTTCACGGAACTCTGTCACAAATGTAAAACGAGAAATGAAATACCCACGCTTCGAACATCCAACGATCTTCTGTCCAATGAAATCAAATTTAATCAAATTTCTCTTAAGGTGCTAGTTTCGCAAACATGTACTTATTTAATAAACATGTACGTTTAGAGTATGCATTATAATTTGTATTAAAGTCGATAGTTGATAGTTTTTGTCTGTGGTTCTGTGTGGGTGTGTAACTTATAAGAATTAGTGTGTGTTGTGGTAAACTGAAGATTGCGTGAATAAGCAATAGCGCTGTATTTACTTGTAGTTATGATCTGTAAGTGTTCAATAAATCCAATTACCAATTCAAACCCCGTCTATAGTCACTCATACACGTGACAATATTGTGTACACAGTAATTGTTAACATCCTTTGAGACTAATTCATTTCTCACGTTTGCTTTCTGTTTCCTTGCGAATAATTCATAATGGATTCATTCCATTTCTCTAACACACCACTTACTTACTTACTTACTTACTCACTCATGGAGCTGAGCCCTTCTGGAGGAGCCGCCAATTCTGCAGCTACTTAAGAACTTCCCAGCATTTTATGGAACCCGAAGGTTAATTACCGTTTCACAAGAGCCCTCCACTGGTTCCTATCCTGAGACAGATCAATCCAATCCATCCCATACTATCTCTCTAAGATCAATTTTAATATTGTCCATCCACCTACGCCTTGGTCTTCCAAGTGGTCTCTTCCCTTCTGGCTTTCCCACCAATATCCTATATGCATTCCTCTTCTCTCCCATTCGTGTTACATGCCCTGCCCACCTCATCCTCCTTGACTCGATCATTCTAATTATACTTGGAGAAGAGTATGAAGTTATGAAGCACAAATATAACACATATACTAAATAATAACAATGATTGATTAAGTTATAAAAATAATATCTATTTTCAAATAGAAATAATTAACAATATAATTGCAGCCTTTTGTGAAGGTGTAACATTTCATTTACACTAAGGCAGCGTCTACAAGACCGTACAAAATGCGTCCGTTGTAACTAAAGTAGTTTATGACGTTGCTGAGGACACAACACAGTTACAGAATGCGGTGCGTAGTTTTTTGTCTGCAATGGAGCCAGAAGAAAGCGTAGCATTCGCCTCTCCTATTTATTTCTACAACGGACGTCACGACGTTCGTTACAACGGACGCATTTTGTGCCTATTACGGGCTTCGGGAAATTCCACGCAAAAGGAAGCAGCATGGCAGTGGGCTGTGAGGAAGAACTCAAACAAATATTAATATATTCAGAAATTACAGATAATATAAAAATACGTACAACTGGAAAACATAAACCGGAAATAAATCAGTAAAATACCTGGCTGTAGGATGGACAACTGGGGTTCGATTCTGGGTGGTGTCAAGTTTCTTCTCTTTGCCACTGTAGCCAATCTCAGCGTAGTACAAATTGTTACCTCTTGGGTGAGGGTGGGGGGGGGTGTAAACAAAACGATCTTCCCACGATACCAGCTACTGACCTCAATCTAACGCGGAGGTTCACAATGCGAGGACCTACTTCTTCGAGTCCACTGCATTACTTCATAGAGCGGTGCTTAGGCGTAGGGGTTACTCAATATTTATATTGTATTTGTATAAAATTCTGTAGCTAAATTCAGCATCTAGCATTCAAGAAGTGCTTTCACAAATACAGTTAGCTTAAGCATAGCCCTTGAGACTTATAATCAGATGTTCCCGGTTCGAATTTCATCCGTGACAAAATCTATCTATGGCTTTACAGACTTTTTGCTGTACCTTGGCCGATTTTAAGTTTCTTGATCTTTTGCACAGTCGGCAGGACTCCTTAGACGAGGGACCAGCCCGTCGTAAGGCCGCTACCTGCATACACAGTACAGCACAAACAGAATAAATGCACACAGACATCCATACCTCAAGTGAGATTTGAACCCACGATCCTAGGGTTTGAGAGGGTGACCACTGTGATAAGCAGTGACACGAACTATCTTGTCTAATTCTTTGTCATTTTTATTGGTCAATAAGGCGAGTGCCTGAGTAGTAACTTGAAATAAGTCACTACCGTGTCCTCCTTAATCCTTTTAAATTTACCAAAACAAAACATTTAATCTATGAAATCTAATATTTTTTACGTTCCTTTCTTGAATAAATTTATTTGCAAATATTCCCTGTATTTTTTATACAGTATCTTCAATTAAAATATTGCCAGATAAAGATATTTAGACTTAATTATTATATCATAAATAAATACAGTGAGACGTCCTCGTAATTACTGATCCGTAAACTATTATTTGCACAAACAGATGTGGGATATGGCACGGATCCTCAGAAAACACGATGCTGTTCTATTGGTCAGTGAGTTTGGAAAGGTTGCAAGGGGTTCCACTAATTTTACTATCAGACAAGGCACTTTAAACTCATATTTATATTAGAAATACGTGAATTCTGTACTGAATCAACCGACTATACACGCGGTTTCGCGTAAAATTTATAAATATTTGTGACTGAGGAACTGAAATAACTTTCTGTGAAATTCTACTTTAAAAATCCATTTGCAAATATAGTAAGAAGTTCATAAAGGTCAGACGTGGACAACGAGCCAGGCGTTTCTCACGCATGCGCACTCTCTTTTTATAAAATTGAAATGCTACACAACATTTCATTTTTAGGTACATCTGTTCTTGTCATCTTAAAATAAATGTCCATTTATCCTACTTCCGTTATAAACATATATACCATTCCTCTGTATTCGTGACGCACTAGGTAATTCTTATCCAGGTCTAATGACATCATCAAGAAAGGATTAGCAACGCACGTGAGTTTGTCTTTGTAACAATGTAAACATAAGTTTCAAAACACTTGAACTAAATATCTTCTGTGTCACAACACTGGAGTATTGTATATATTTTCGTGTGTCCTTAAAATAACTTAAAGCAATAATTCTTACACCAAGTTCACTAAAGTACAGTCTATTTATAACACCAAGCCCTCAAACAAATTGGTTGTGTCAATCTCTTTGTAGAAGTTCATATAACGCTGCAATATACGTTTGCGCCATTTGAAGTGTTTCAAATTTAGACAGTTTCCTGTCGTTTCCTAGTGACGGCACCACATCTCTTAAGCGATCGAAAGCGTCATTTAAACTATTCATTCTACGTCTTTCTCTTGCGTTCGCCGCTAATCTTCTCTTTTTCATCACTTCCACTCCTGGAGTCGAAATTTGTTGCCCTACAGATCTGCCCTTATGACCTGATGTACATCGCTTGTCCCCTTGTTGCTGATAACTCACTTTGACCCTTTTACAGGAAGACATCACAGGGCTGTCTCTACTACTGTCACTGCTGCAGAATTCTTGCTGCATTGTCGTGTACTGACATGGATGCATCTCCTGGATTCTAGCACCGCTCCGCCCCTCTGACATTGCCGACTCCTCACGGTGATTCCGTTTGGTGAAACCTCCTTCGTTTCCAAAGTAGTTCTCGTTGTAATGCCAGAAATTTTCATCTTCTTGACGGTAATTATGATGCTGGTGATAATGATGATATTGGTCTTGTTGGGAATGGTCGTGGAGGGGTTTGAGGGTGTGGTCAGTGAAGCCGTGAGGAAGGCGATGATTGGAATAAACTTGCTTATCGTATATAGTTACTGGGTTGTTGACATTTGTTGGACTTGGGGTGGAAGTGAAGGATGAAGCATATGTACTATCAGGACTAGACACGGGGCTATGATAGCCATCAGATGAGCCATCAGATGACCTTGGGAAAGACGAAACCCGGTGATGTGGGTGGCAAAGATATGACGCCATCATTGTCATGGCAACCTTCTGTTATAAAGTGTTTCTTGCTAAGCTGTAGACTCAGTTTTAACAGATTATACGCTAAAACACACGAACATGAAAACGAAAACACTTGGATACACTTCTGCTTAATAAAAACGCTATGAATGTTTCTTCTAATGTTGGAAACAAAGTCAAAATATCACTCTATCTTTGAAAATTGTTTATATTTTTCATAGTAAGAAATAATATATTGTAAAAATTATTTATCACGTACACTGTATGATGTTATTATCGATAATGTATAGTATTTTAGTTCTATTTATTTTGTCTCTTATTTACTTTTCACACAGAAAACTGTGTTTAGTTTTTAAGCATTATACACTTTTCGCTAAATATTGTATTTTTTGGTGCATAAGGATTTTATATTTATAAAGTTGTAGATGAAATAAACGCAAAATTTACACATAACTGTTACTTGTTTTTAATTAATATTAATTTGTTCGTTCAACATCCTATAATCTAATGAATATAACAGTTAAACACACTAAAAACAGCTTCGTTTATGTTCCTGTAACACCAATTTAAAACACCACATCAGTGTTTAGAGTAAAACAGTTTCTTTGCGTTCACTGTCACGACGCCAACACACGGAACGCAGAGCCGACACAACACTGTGGCATCTCACGTGATGCGTTGAGAGCCTGGCTGCTGCAGTGGTCATCGAGTCTGCCCCACAAGACACCGGCGAGTCAACTGACTGAGAGGTACATCTCAAGACAAGGCAGTGGCTTCTGCAGCCTCCACTCCCTTCCTTGCGGTCGACTGGCAACAGATCACGTGGTTTCCAAGACACCCAACTTCTTCACGCACCCGAAGAACATGGTCAAGGGGTCAAGCTAGGTAATTGCTTCTGTGCTTGCGGTGATTTGGTGACTGAATGGAGATGATAAGTGATGTCGGTTCCCGGGAGAAGGAAGATGTTCTTATTTCTCGCTCCACCCCCCTTGTCATGTTTGTAAAGGAGTAACATTAATTTGATGTAACTAGGCAGGTTCATATAACAATATAATTCTAGAATTCTACCTGGAGGTACCCAGTTCGAATATTCTTCCCGAGCTATCAACTACACTGAGTTCTTTCGTGTTTTTTTTTTGTTTCTTCAGGAAATAAACTGCATAATGAGGAGCGTCGTAACTTGTACTCTTCGCCGAGTGTAATTAGAATGATCAAGTCAAGCAGAATGAGATGGGCTGGGCATGTAGGACGAACGGGGGCGAAGAGGAATGCATGTAGAATATTGGTGGGACAGCCAGAAGTAAAGAGACCTCTAGGAATACTAAAACTTAGGTGGATGATAATATTAAAATGGATATTAGGGAGATTGGATGGGGTAATATGGACTGGATTGATCTGGCTGTGGATAGGACAAGTGGAGGGCTCTTGTGAACACAGTATTGAACCTTCGGGTTCCATAAAATAATGTAAAGTTCTTGATTAGCTGCAAAATTGGCAAGTTCTAAAGAAGGGCTTAACACAATGAAATTAGTTATAAGTCAAGTATTGAATAATCCTGGAGTCGGGATAGCTCAGTCGGTATAGTGACTGCCTACGGGCTAGACGAAGGAGGGTTCGGAGTTCGAGTCCATTGTAGGGTCAAAAAATTTCTCTTCTCCGCGTTGTACAGACCTGCTCTGGGGTTCACCGAACCACCTACTGAATGGATTTCGGGGGCTCTTTCCATGGGGGTAGAGCGGCCGAATCGTGAAACTGACTACTCACCTCCAGCTAGTGCCAAGATCAAGAAAATATGGATATATACATCCACTCCCCCATACGCCTTCATGCTTAATTAGTTAAGCACAGGGACAACTTTACCTTAGTGTATTATCCTGGATTCCTGCATAACCATTAATTTACATAAACCTCAAATAAGAAATGTATCAAATTCCTTAACAATGGTTGTTCCCATAAAGGAAATGATACATTTTATTTCCTCCCCCCCCTACACAGTTTCAGTTCCCAATTGAAGCAAAACTATTTGCCCTTCATTATCCTGAATCGTCCATTGTGCCTTTGCTTGTCGAGTCAGGTAAAGTCAGGTACCCAGCAGCTCTCTTCAGAAGGCCGCCTCGTCAGGTCCTGCAGTGTATCAGTTACATAGGAAGGGTCACATATTTTATTCGAAAGAGCTTCTGTGATCTTTGCACACACCCTCCACATCTATGCATCCTGGAGAAAGTGTTTCAGTACTTAAAAACACCAGGAGTTTAACTTCTTGTTGGTCCACAGACTATAGGTTATTTGCTCCTTACGACTCCATCCTCTGAAGTCCAGAGGACGCTCCAAGTGAGTGTTAAGGCTCACCGGAAGGATAGGGCACATACTCCGTGGCCTGTAGTCCGCAAGCGAACTATACCGACCGAGCGACCACCGCTTGTCGGCGAAATTACTGCCAACTTTAGCTGATATAAGATGTCACGTGGTCAGCGCAACGTATCCCCACGGCCGTTAATCTGGGTTTTCTAGACCGGAGCCGTTATTTCCTTGAAATAGCTCGTCAGTTATCCTCACGAGGCTGAGTGCTCCCCGTTCCAGATCCACTACTTCACAGAAAATCTGGTAGCGCCGGGAATCCAACCAGGATCTCCGGATCTGTAACAAGGAACTCTGACACTAGACCACTGAGGCAGATAAGGTACATTACACCTGTTTAAAATTTAATATTTTCATTTCAGACGGGTTTCAATGCGCCGAATATTTAAGGAAAGACGAGTAGAATAAGGGACAAACGGCAGTGCATTTCGTTTAGGTATTATGTTACAATCCGGAAGACCGCGGGTTCGATTTCCGTTAAGATCATTTGAGGGTCAATTCAGCCTCTAACAGAAATGAGTACCAGGAATCTTCTTGGGGTAAAGGGAGGCCGGCGCTTAAGGCTGACAACCTCACCACCTTCTGTGAGCCCATTTTCTAAAAAATGTGAAAACCTCGACGTCTCAGAAACTTTTGGGCTTTCAGGGGCTGTTACAGGGATTTTCCCTTAGAATCCTATGTTTAGCCACTTCAATCCTACATATTAAAATCGAAGGCTGAATTTGTGAAAAGCGTAAAGAAATTTCTTTCTTGTTGGGTTTCAGGGGCACGCTGAAGCGCGGAAACTGGCGACAAATTTTGAGCGAGGTAAGGATGTGAACTTGGCTCACTCATGCAGGAAGGCTTCTTGTAAAACAAGAGAGGCGCCCTCACACTAGCTGGGCCGTTACGATACTGCAATGGTAGCAAGATTATTATCGTGTTGCACGATTTTTTGGAAGCCGATGGAAATGCAGTACAGTCGTAACAAAATATATACAGCCTCAGAAAACAGCTGCAGAAGTATGTGAATCTCTGTTTAAAAGCACAACATTTCTGACCGTGACTGACTCATTCAGTGACTATAACGATAGATTCACTTATTGAATCACTGAAACTGTCTTGATGATTATCTGTCTCACTAAAAAGAAAAACCCATAATTGTAAAACAACAGACACTATGTAAGTGCTTAGGGCCGCGCCATAGCTAAAGCGGTTAGTCGCTGGCTTCCCACCGCTGCGGCCCGGGTTCGATCCCGGGTCTGGTCAAGTGGGATTTGTGGTGGACAAAGTGGCGCTGGGGCAGGTTTTCTCCGAGTATTTCGGTTTCCCCTACCAATCTTCATTCCACCAATTGCTTCACAATCACCCTCACCTATCATCTGGGGCTGGTACAATAGGCCAGAAGTGGCCGCAGTACAAGGGACTTAGTCCCACCCCACTAGCAATACCGCAGTACAAGGGACTTAGTCCCACCCCACTAGCAATACCGTAGTACAAGGGACTTAGTCCCACCCCACTAGCAATGCCGCAGTACAAGGGACTTAGTCCCAACCCCACTAGCAATAAAAAATAATGTAAGTGCTTAACTATTTTAGATAAACTGATTACTACGTCTATATATGCCACCTACATTAATATAAGAAAGCTGAATTTTGATCACAGATTTTTATTTTTGAGTTACGCTAGAGATCACTTAATTAATAACAAGTAAAGTTATCCCTGTAACAGGCCGTGAAGACCCATATGGTTTTGAGACGTCGAGGCTCCTACATTTTCTATCTAAACAATTGGCACACAGATGGTAATAAGATTGTCAGCCTTACCCACCGGCCGCCCTTTACCCCCCACGAAGATTCCTGGTATTCATTTCTGTTAGAGGCTGAGTTGACCCCAGGGCCATAGTACCGCTGGAAGTATTAGGTAAATTGAAAAAATCCACCTAATCGAGACTCGAATCCGCGACCTTCCAGCTTGTAGCAAAGTGCCTCAACCAACTACGTTACCGCGTGTCCCTATGGATAGCAAATATTTTTTATAATTGCTAGTGGGGTGGGACTAAGTCCCTTGTACTGCGGCTACTTCTGGCCTATTGTACCAGCCCCAGATGATAGGTGAGGGTGATTGTGGAGCAATTAGAGGAATGAAATTGACAGGGGAAACTGAAATACTCGAGAAAAGTTGCCCAGCGCCACTTTGGGCACCACAAATCCCACTTGACCAGACCCGGGATCAAACCCGGGCCGCCACGGTGGGAAGCCGGCGACTAACCGCTTGAGTTATGGCGCGGCCTGAAAAGCAATTAAGTATTTTTCTAAATATATTTAATTAATATTGTGGTTTTATAGGTTGTGACACCATAAAATTTCGTGGGGAAATACTTAAGTTTCGGTGGAATTTGTTGTATCCATGTTCAAGCCTTATGTGTGTAGGTTCAGCGTTAACAAACGGAAGTCACAAGAAATGTGGTCATTAGGCCCAAAGATAAGGGGTAAAAACAAGGAACCCAGTTCTAGCTGATGGGAATATATTAAGTTGTTCGTTTTTGTGATAGAGACACATTATTTCTATGAGAGATTAGCCGGAAATTTGAAAAATTATTTACATGAATTTCAGGCTATAGAAGATTAATCAATAGATCTTAATCTTACAGCTAAGGATCTCTCTGTTTCAATTCCTCATCAGAAGTCTCAGAAACAATTAGATGATTTGTTGTTATAGCTTATCAACTGTGTTTCAGAATACACCGTTACGAAAGTGCGAGAATTCTTGCATGGGATTGATTTGAATGGGATATGTCAGCTTAATTCCTGTCCGATGACATCAATTTGTTAGGATAAACCACAAATACTACAAAAAGAAACACAGAGAACGTTGTCTAGCGAAGAGCTTCATAATTTGTACCCT